TTTCAGTGATTTCCTTCTAACTCATGTCACCAACTAACTGACCCTGACGCAGTGTTTTAGCCCAAGGAGAACAGGGTACATGGTGACTTTAGGACCAGGATAGAGAACCCGTGGTCTAGACAGTTCATCCGTTCGCTATTAAAGCACGCTTTCGTTCTTTTCTCTTCATCGTCTCTCTGACTTGTCTTCGTAAACTCCTCTGATCTCTCCACCAAAGCTTCACTGGTGTAGAACATTCGTGTCGAGTCAAATCCTCAAGCAAATTCTTACGAGACGGGGAAGCAAGCGATTTGCATCGACATTTGAATTGCACTTGGACACGCGGACACACCTAACATCCATACACACGCACAGCTCTACCACACGCAGTCCTGTCGTAATGCAGGTGTGTGTTTACCCAGACTAGCATCAGGTCCCAGGCCTGCTGTCTGCCCCACGTAAGGAGCCCCTCCATAGCCACCTGTTTTGCTTGGAAGGCCAAGTCCAGCAGACACAACAGGCTGGCCACCAGTAGCACCAAGCACAGAACCTGGATTGGCGCCTCCTATAGATAAAACACAGCGACTGCATCAAGGAGCACCCACACATTCAGAAAGGGAAATTGGGAAATTACACTGGTCATCAGTCAGGAAACACTGAAATATATATATTAGAAAAATAAATAAATATATTAGGACAATGTAGACAATGTAGGCAATGCAACAACCTATGAAACATTATAAAAGATTATGAAAAGAAAATAACTTAATGTGTGGGTTTGTTGATGGCATGTCACCTTTAGAAAAGCCTTGTAATGCTCTGCTATGTACATATAATACATAGAAATGTTCAGAAAGACTGCAGTACACCACACAGACCATAGGAGGTGATATGGCTTTTTCTGTTTTACTGTAAAGAAAAAAACACTTGTTGCACAGACAAAACTCTAAATCATTGTGGTGCTGTGATGGTGACAGGAAACTGCAGTAAGCAGAACGATCTGATTGGTCAATTACTAAGCAAGTCCACTCATTAGCTCCAGCCCTAAAATCTGCCACCAAGATTTCATCAAACAGGATGGAAACAAACTTGACCAGTTTGAAAGACTCTTCTTACCGTACTTCGCAGACTTGGGGTCAGTGCTTATTCCTAGTGCTGGAGCTCCAAAGCCTCCAGCTCCCAGACCTACAGCAGTACAGACACATCAAATACTCTTAGCTGCTGAGTTCAACACACAGAATAATGCACATTGCTGAAGGATCTCGCATTGAGGATTAGCTGAGATGTGTTAATATGTATGGTACAGTTGGAAGGTGGTAGCACCTTTTATCAGTCACCTTCATTAAGAAGTATGAAGGTTTTGAAACACAATAAATCAACACACTTCATCACTTCATCACTTCAAAATGTCTGCTTAGGTGGTTGAGATACACCGATCAGGCATAACATTCTGACCACCTCCTTGTTTCTACACTCATTGTCCATTTTATCAGCTCCACTTACTATATAGGTGCACTTTGTAGTTCTACAATTACAGACTGTAGTCCATCTGTTTCCCTTTTACCCTGTTCTTCAGTGGTCAGGACCCCCATGGACCCTCACAGAGCAGGTACTATTTGGGTGGTGGATCATTCTCAGGTTCTGACCACTGAAGGTCATAATGTTATGCCTGATCGGTGTATAAACAGAGGCACTCAGAGTGCTTTGATGTGAAATGCTTCATTTGTAGTGAAGCTTAAAGACTGTGCTGTGGTGCTGTTACAGTGGTGGTGATAGGAACGAGGGGTCGCCATGTCGACAACACAAATATAGCCATTTTATTTACTATTCAAAGCCACAATTTTTTCTGTGTAATGTTCATGATGGCCAAAAGTGGTCAACCGTCACGCCTCCCTCTGTCCTGGCTGAAACTACAGCCAACGGGGCCACCCAGGACTCCAATTCCCAGAACCTCTTGCTGAATCACATGACTCAGGACTCTCACCGATCCACCCACCAGCGCTCTTCATCTCCAGACTACTAATTTCACACAGCTGTTTCTGTGGTTTGTTAGTTTAGTATTTAAGCCCGGGCTTTAGATTAGGTTATTTGCGAAGTATCATTACATCCATATGCATATCAAGTGTTTCTCCCGTGTTCCTGACTGTTGTCCTGTGTATGACCCGTTTTCCGCTTATGACCCTGATTCTAGCTGTACCCTTTTGTTCTGTGTTGGTTTTCTGGTTTTCGACTTTCTGCTTTGTGATGTTGGACAACCCCTTTAACATTAAAGATCTCAACTCACGCCTCTGCTGTGAGCGTCTGACTCCGCCTGCCAGCGTTATATCAACCTGAAAAATAAGATTTGTGGACTATTTTGCCTTAGAACACCCTTCATGTATCCCTTAACCATAAATGGATTAAAATAAACTGATTAACCCTCTATTGCACGATGTTGCCTCAGGGCAACAAACCCATTTTCCTCACTTTACAATAGCATTATACATATTTAACGACAATGACAGGGTTAACAATAGAGGGCAGAGTTTATGTAAGTCAATAAAAAGCATGTACATGGTCACTGTCTCTTAAACCTCTCTTAAACACGGTTAAACCTCCTTTTAAACATTCAGTATCATTTGTTTTGAGAATTCACAGAAATATGTTTGTTGCCTAGAAGCAACACTGTGCGACAGTGGAATGGATTTATCCAGTCACAAGGCAGGTCTCATCACTTCAGGGCTCTATATCATTTCTTACCATTGTTGCACAATGTTGCCTCCAAGCAACATACACCAAAGGATACATTATTATTTAAAAAAAAAGTTTTTGAACTTAATAATCAGGTCAATTTTATGCAAGAAATCGAATATTTTTTAATTGCTCTCCTAATTTGTGCTGTAGAGGGTTCATCAGTGTCTCAGGCTTTAGGCAGTGTATTCATAACTATTGCATATAACAACTTTTTGTTTTGTGAAGGAGCTTTTAGAGGCATTAGACACGCCAGATGTCTGGTTCCTATCACCACCACTCTGAACAACTCTGACTCGGTTCGTTTCTCTGGAATGAAGCATTTCACATCAAACCACTCAGAGCGGCTTTGTTTACATGTTAACCATTAAACAATACAGACATTTTGAAAAATCGGTGGCGTTCCCCTTCGAGTGTCTTACAGGGCCTTGACGCTGCATGATTTGTTTCCTGAAAACCTCGAAGCGCTCTCCGAGATTCGAGTGCGACTGTACAGACGCCAAAATAAAGCTGTGAGAAACTAGTTTACCTGCTCCCAAGTGCTTAAAGTGTTTAGTTAGACTCAGCTCTTACCAGCCTTGCCTCCAAGCCCAGCGCCATCAGCTAACGCTGCTGGATAGCCAAGCTCTGTAACATAATTATAATTCCCATTTGATTATAATTATGCCTGCGCGTTAGTACAGTGCTGGGACAGTGTTATAAAGGCATGATCAAACTCACCAGCTCCAAAGCCACCATCATATCCATTAATGCCATACACATTGCCATAGCCTGGAGAGAGTGGGGGGGGGGCATTGCTTGATTATTTCACTGCCTCAAATTATATACTGTTTAAAATGTAAAAAGAAATCTGCCTCAAGTCGAACGTAAAGCTTTGTGTAAAAAACAAAAGAGCACATGATGTTTGTGCCTTCTTATGCAACCAGCGCTGGTTAGAAAACAATATACTGAGAGTGACGGCAGCGGCTGTAGACGGCCTGTGGTACACAGATGCAGACATACACATGCTGATAACAGTTGGCAATGCATTAGCAGAAGTCTTCGCCCTCAGCTTCTTAGCTTCATCTAAACCACAGGGCAGCAAGAAGGACTTGTGAATCCTTCCCAACTCTCTGTATGCAGGCAGAACACCGATATGAGCCTCTACACCATCAATTAATACATGTATTGTGGAAGACAATGAATAACGCCTTTTGTCTTCTTGTCTGTATTGTGTGACACATCAAACTTGACTCTCAGAAGACTGAGCAGGCAGATGTGTCAGATTAGTCACTGCTTCCGGAGTGAAGTGTTGATAAGGCCGCTTAACCTCTCTGACCATGACCATATCCTGTCACATTATCGGTAAAGATGACTCACCACACGCGCCCTAAATTAGCCGTTCTAATGAGAACATACATACATGCTCTCAAAAAAGTGCTTGTTTATTAACTACAATTAGAACAAATACAGATAAATAAACAGTATACTGTGACTTGGTCTTCCAGTGTGTTGGCTTAACTATTTCCAAAGCCCTCCTTGTAGTGACCATGCAATACCTAATTTATCTGATCAGTCCTTCATTAAATTAAGTCAGGTGTGCTGCTGATGGAGTTTAGTCTAAGAAACAGCCGGAGAGCACTGAAGATTATCAAGAAGGAACCAATTCTTTTTTTTTTTTTTACTTTATTCTTCTAACCAACGTATTAACTTTTTTAAAAAAACAACAATCAAAAACGTTTTACTCTATTTATTATTAGTATTTAGTCTTAGATTATTCAGTGCTTTTACAGGCAAAAACATACTGCAGAAAAAGAGAGTTTTAAACAATTTAGGACTTTTAGGACAATTTAAAGATTTTTGCATAGTACTGTAGATATATCACCAGGCATCATATGCAATTTAAATATATATATATATATATATATATATATATATATATATATATATATATATATATCATTGTTTCTTCTGTTGTCAGAAGAAAACCTTGTATATCCAAAATGGAAACTTTACAGGAGAAGGAAAAAACCTACTTTACTTTTAATGCAAGTCAATGGAACCAGACTTTTTTACAAGTCATTTTGGGCCGTTTCTTTTAGTCCATTCATCATGAAATTTATAAACAACGTAAAGGACAAAAGGTATTTTCAAATGATGTCACAAACTAAAAAACAACTAAAATAGAGATATAAGGTTTTTTTCTGACAGCAGTGATATTTGTGTATATATATATATATATATATATATACACACACACCAACTGGCCACTTACCTTAATCTACACTTTTTTAGCTCCACTTACCTTATAAGCACACCTTGTAGTTCTATAATTACAGAGTACAGTCCATGTTTTTCTGCATACTTTGTTAGCCTCCTTTTACCCTGTTCTTCAATGGTCTGGACCACCATTGGACCACCAGAGAGCGGGTATTGTTCAGTGGTGGATCATTCTCAGCACTGCAGTGACACTGACGTGGGGGTGGTGTGTTAGTGTGCGTTGTGTGTGGTTTTAAAAACTGTGTCCACTCACTGTCCACTCTTTTAGACACTCCTACCTTGTTAATCTACATTGTAGAGGTAAAGTCAGAGACAATAGCTCATCTGCTGCACATTTTGTGCAGATTTTTATTTGGCTCTTTATTAGTGGTCACATGATGCTGCCCACAAGATGCTATTGGCTATTCTCAGTCCAGCAGTGACACTGAGGTGTTTAAAAACTCCAGCAGCACTGCTGTGTCTGATCCACTTAGACCAGCGCAACACACACTAACACACCACCACCATATCAGTGTCACTGCAGTGCTGAGAATGACCCACCACTCGAATACCCGCTCTGTGAGGGTCCATGGGGGTCCTGACCACTGAAGAACAGGGTAAAAGGGGGCTAACAAAGTATGCAGAGAAACAGATGGACTACAGTCTGTAACTGTAGAACTACACAGTGCACCTATATAGTAAGTGGAGCTGATAAAATGGCCAAAGAGTGTAGATGCCCAGAGTTGTACTTACTGAAGTGGCCGGTTGGTGTATATAGCACAAAATATTGGGCTTAACAAAACAGAGTGTGTATTACAATCAGGGCATTTTAATTTAAGATCAAAGACCAGCACATGAAGTAGAAATCAGCAAAAAAAATGAACAGCACTGCTGAAAATGAGACAAAGATAAAGAAGTTAAGGTGAAATAAAACAAAAATGGCCTTACCAGTCTGTTTGCCCACTCTACCAACTGGTAATCCACCCCAGCCAAGAGCTAAATCAGAATACACAAAGTCTTTCATTACTCCAGCAACTGTATTAGATTGGGACAAGATCAAATAATGTGTCTGCATATTCAATCTAACATAATAAATAGGTCTGTTTACAGGACTAATTGAAAGAGCAGATGATCTTCTGATCATCACGAGTTGAGAAATGTTTCGTAACAGTTTCGTACCCGCTTCATAGCCGTTAGCTAGACCTGCTCCTGGATAGCTGCCTGTGCCGAGGCCGTACCCTGCCAAAAACAACCACACGTGCTTTAAAATACACTGATATCGAGACAGTGGGATGAAATGATGCTCCTTGATAGATGTCGTGATTTGAAAGAAAGCTGTGGAGCAGAAAATCATGGTATTGTGTAGTTGATATAATCACAAAGGACGGCTTATAGTATGTATAATTAGTAACTATACATAATATACACTTAAACCTACTCTACACCTACCCCTGACCTTAACTACCCTACACATAACCTACTCTACACCTACCCTGACCTTAACTACCCTACACATAACCTACTCTACACCTACCCCTGACCTTAACTACCCTACACATAACCTACTCTACACCTACCCCTGACCTTAACTACCCTACACATAACCTACTCTACACCTACCCCTAACCTTAACTACCCCACACATAACCTACTCTACACCTACCCCTAACCTTAACTACCCCACACATAACCTACTCTACACCTACCCCTACCTAACTACCCTACACATATTACTCTATACCTACCCCTGACCTTAACTACCCTACACATAACCTACTCTACACCTACCCCTGACCTTAACTACCCCACACATAACTTACTCTATACCTACCCCTAACCTTAACTACCCCACACATAACCTACCCAAGCATTCAGTGAATTACACACCATAAACTGAACAATACACACTGTCCAAACCGTACACTGTGGTTTTATCACCTACACTTTACCCCAGTATCACACACATCATTAAACAGCATGGCAGAAGAGCCTGTGGAGCCAAAAAACACTGACACATGACAAACCATACATACTGTGTGCACGTCTGTGACAACAGCCAAAGTGACTGGGCAGTGATAAAGGAAAGCGAACTGAAAGGTTTCACACACACACAAAATCAGTGCTCAGCAGCACAACAAATTCAAAAAGGGGAGAAGGAGTGGAAAAGGGAAGTGAGGGGTGGAGCGTGGGACTCAAACGCCTTGGATAAGAGAGGTGTATGTAGGGTGTGTAGCCAGATCAAGGTGAAGCAGCAGAGGATCCATAGTGAATGGTGGATTTTTACGGGCCTAAATCCTTCATCATCTCGGCAGAGATTCCATTGACTAGCCCAGTGATTTAGGACGTTAAAAATACCACCCTGTGGCTGACATGCATGTGGCCACACAGCCTATGACACACTTTAGTTAGAGAGTTTACCAGTCTTGGACATTTTGGCAGCCTTTCTGCGGAGGATGGCTGCTCCTACACCATACGGATCAACAGTCAGTTTAAAAAACACACAATCGCCATTTCAACACAAGCCACACTCTATTTGACCAAGTTCTAAAAAAACCTTGCGTCGAAACTTCCTTCTCCATAGAAAACTCAGCAGAGTTTACAGTTTACATCTTCATGGTATGGCATTCAACTCAAATGATCAATGTATGTTTAATTCAATGAGTATGAGTTCATCAGTGGTTCCCAGTCACAGTCACAGCACTGACTGGACTCCATCGGTAAGCTGAGAAAGATGTACTGAAACAGGGAAGGCATAAAATGTGCAATAGGCTCTTCTGGAATAGTGTTGGGAACCACTGGTATACGCAGTGTAGATTGCTAGAAACAGCATTGGCAGGCTTTTACCTTTACCTCCTTGTCCATTGACTCCTATAGGCCCTGGTCCATAACCTACAAAGCACAGCACTCATGACCAGCCGCTAAAAAGATCATTTTCTACAAGCCTAGTGGCAAAATGATGAAATCTTCTGTAACAGTTCGTAACATCTTCCTCTGTCTTTCGAGACGTAATAAAAGTTCTTAGCTAAAAATAAAGGCAGCAAGATGCAATGATATGCAATGGAGGTTTAACATCGCTTCAAGCTCTCCTACTACCGGTCAAGACACCCTGCTATATCGATCATTCAATAGTGTCGACTCTGCTGAAACACAAGGTTTAATCGACAAGTATGGATATGGCTGTGGTGCTTTACCGTTGCTTATAACTCCAGCTCCATTAGACACTCCTGCCCCTGGGCTGTAGCCTACAGACCACATTATTAGTTAACTATACAATACATCACAATCTGAGCTAAAAATAACAACAAACCTGATCATAAATTACAATATAATGGCACGAAAGTCAACTGTAGGGCACACACATGCAGGTTTACCGTTAGCTTTAGCTCCTTTTCCATTTCCATTAATTATCCCTGCTCCAGAGCCATACCCTGAAGATCACAACACTAAGGTTGTAACAACAAAACGGCATTTTATAAAACTAAACAGTGAAGTGAGACTGAAGAGCGCTGGTTTTACCTCCCTGTCCATTGGGTACCACCGGTGCTGGGACGTAACCTACAGACCAAGACAACAGATGCTTGGTACAAGCTAGTGTGAATAATTTCCTTACATTATTTAATTCCTCTAGAGGTCATTCCACTGGACATAGCTACACCTCAAATATCCTAAGCCACTAGTCAATAAAGCACCACAGCATCTACACACATATATAAGACATACAGGCACCAGAGAGTTACCATTGCTTGGAACACCTTGTCCATTTGGCACTCCTGGAGTTGGAGCATATCCTAAAGATCACAACACGGGTTACAGAACGAAGCCAGAGGAGTACGACATCTTATTGTTTTCACTATGGGACAAAACTACATTTGCAACTGAACTGTGAGTCTCACAAATAAATGCAAAGTCCTTTTACCATTGCCTTTTTCTCCCTGTGCAAGTGGAAGTCCTCCTCCAAGCCCATTACCTAAAAACGTACACATATGAAGCAACAAGGAATGGTGTGTCTTGTGAAAGAAAAACAACAAATATGCAATCACACACATGATAACACTCACACACAATGCGTACAAAGATTAAAGGATGACTATGACAAAATATTAGAGGATGACAAGAGAAAAACATAGTAGTATTTCAGTTATTATGAATAATAGTCACTTAACCCTTGTGTGGTGTTCAGGTCTGTGGGACCCATTTTCAATGTTCACCAGAATAAAAAATCATGTGATTTATTATTATTTGAAGCTCAGATTCTTGCCCTTTGCTCATTTTCTGTGTAGAACATATAAAATAACCCATTTTCAGTGTCTTCACTCTGTTCACCCCCCCACACATTTATATTACACATGTGGTGTTGGGCTGAACCCGCGGGGAGTAAAAGTGTGGAGGTGCTGTGTCCTTCACTCTGTTCTCCTCCTACATGGCCTGCTGTTAGTGTGTGTGTGTGTGTGTGTGTGCATGTGTGTGTGTGGGTGGACAACATGGACAGGCTGCTGACTGGCTACAGCTGCTAAAGGAGAACCCTACGCTGGACACTTGTGATATTTTAAACATCTGCTATTTTTACATAAATTGTTTTGGCTGTATTGATTTAAAAAACCAATAATGTGGTGGGTCCACCAGACCACTGAGTAACAAACACATCGACACCACATAAGAGTTAATAGGGCTTTTATGGTGAGATTTTACCTTGACAAAACTAAAAGCAAACACTTTTGCTGGACAGAACATTAAAGTGGTTCATACAACAGATGATGCTTTTTACAATATAAAAGGTCACAAAACACGTCACATTAGCTGCGGCCGTGAAAGACAAGCTGTACTAATCCAGAGGAAATTCAAACACAGACACATGAACTAAAGCAAGTAATGGACACTTTGTCTTACATACAGAAAGGGCAAATTAGGCAAACATCAAACACATCAAATTACCCTGAACGCAGTTATTCTGCCGTCTGGGTCAACCAGGGCAAGATTTTTGTCAACTGGTGCTAAAATCGGCCACCAAGAAGTTTGTCCTTCAGTGCAGAGAAGGAAGGAGAACGAAGACTCTGAACCTTTGAGACTTCTGCTCTCTTGTATACATGGAATTCATGAAGAGAGCCTTTAATTAAGGTATGGTCTTTCCAAAGGGGAGCAACAGAATTTGCACAAAACATGCAAAAGACTTCCTTTCTTGCCAGATTTTTACTCATCTGTGCTTTTTGCATTAAAGTATTTCTATGACATTCACTCTCCAGCCAAAAGAAGCGTTTCGAACGTGCAGCTAAGAACGTCCTAAACATTTTGTCGAAGTTCCTTCAAGACTTTGCCATCAACAGCGAATGATACCAACACGCTTCTCACTAGCTGGCCCCGGTGCCTCAGCTGTGAGAACTTACTTCTGTGGTTTGACAATCAAAACTTCGAGACTTCCCTACCAGTCGCTGAAGAGACAGCCAGAGCTGTCTGAACCTGAGCCTGCGAAACAGCCAGAAGTCTCACTACTTCTCATTCAGATGAAGTAGTACAAAGAGGCTAAACCTTTAAAGCCTTTCCATTTTCAACTGAACCTGTCGCTGCCTGAGACTGAATATAAGCAGTGTGAAACACCATCACTAGCTTCAGGCCCACAAGTCTTCAGCCTTCCTAGCACCTCAGGCATCTTCACAAAAAGCTGATCAGCAATACTAGAGAAGAAGTGATTTGTACTATAATGGGCTGAACATAGAGGCCACACAAAAGCAGCTAATCAACAAAATACAGCCACCCACAAAGCTATACTCAAATGATTGTAATCAAGGCACAAAGACTTTAAACTCAAGGAAAGAAACGGTGGATTTTCGACAGCAGCCAAATGATATAGCATCTAAACTAATCCAACAAAAGTGCCACATGTAGTGATGCTAAGGTGCGTTATTTAAGGTTCTCCTCTAACAGCCCTGAGAACACGCAACCAAAATACAACTAGGTCACTACGAAAATGTTTGGAGTAGAAAACTAGTTTCTTTAGGTTTCCGATGGAACTAACAAGATATGTACGTTTATACACCTTCTTTTTATCAATGTTCAAACTGCGTTAATTGCCGGTTAATTATTAACTGTCAACTAACAACAAAATTTGCATCCCTGCATCACACACTTGCTCTGAAACCACATCAAGTTGGTAAATAATAAAGCAGTAAGCCACGAGAGGCTGTGGGTTTCTGTGATTTTATCACGGGAAGAGTGTTCTTAGTGGAGTGGAGGCCTAAAACTCCCGTCCCTTGATAAAATCACAGTAACACACAGCCTCAAGTGGCTTATTGCTTTTATAAAACAGCAGCCAACATAAAATACGATAAAATACACGACTTTACAGAAAATATTTAAGTTATTAATAATAATAAGCGACATAAACAACTACGCCGCCAAGAAATGTGGTTTGTTTAAAGTTTGGTATTGTTGCCACGCAACCATGGACGCTGAATGAGGAGAACGTTGGTCGCCCATCGCTGTATATTGCGGTCATTTCATGAATATTATCATGAAGTTTTTGTTGTAAAAAGAACCAACATATGATAACAGCACTGTTTAATGCAAAGTACTTTTTGGTTACCAAATTACCACCGAGTCTTATTTAGCACCAATCCAGCGACGCCCTCTTCTCACACTGGGGCTGAATCTCAAACGGCTCCCTGCTCCCTACATAGTGCACTACATAGGAGTTTAAATACTGGATTCTGCAGCCAAACGGTGCAAAAAGTGATTTGGAAATAGTGTTTTAGGACTCCACATCCACACTCGATACATGATGCACTGTTTGGCTCTAGAAGCTAGAACTTCTAAACTTTCATAGCTAGAACACTATTTAGGGAGTACAGAGCTGTTTGGGATTCAGCCTGGGTTTGACCGTACAACTGACCGAAACACCAACATCTGAAGTGCGTAATCAATTCAAGTGACATTTCTAAGACTTATATATGTTTCACAGTTAGTCATAACTTAAGTACTTTAATTCAAGCCTGTGATATTAATGATGGAGTTGTTATATTTTAGCCTGTTAGCTAGCTGACCAGCCTAGTTCTAGTTAAGAATATAAGTCTCCAGCCCCTCAGTTTAAACAAAAAAATGGGGTCTTCCTTCATCAATACACTCAGTGGTCCATGCAAGTGGCATGAGATTATTCCATTTACAGCACAAGGGTTTTTCGTGCCGAGTTCAGTTGTTGTGAGGTGGTAATAGGAGTGGTGTATCGTGGATTTTACAATGGCTTCAAACACTGCTCAGCCAATCAGATTTTAGGACCGGATCTGTTTTATAATCTCGAATAGACTTGCCTTTGTTTTTGTTTTTAATATAGAGGCAGAAACTACTCTGTTACAGAGTGCCAACCAACCTTCAATGGTGGGGAACCTTTCAGAGTCTCCCAAACCCCACACAAGAACAGCACATCAGCCCAGCGTTTGGGTCTGCTGGTGTTTGCTGAAGAATGCTGTGACTGTCTGCTCTCAGCATCAGAGGATGATCAAAAACATGCACATGAACAAAAATGCAAATGCGTGTTATTCTAAGATCCATTATCCGCATCTACTGACAAAAAAGGCCCTGCTAACATTAGGAGGCCTGCTTTCACACACCTGCACACAAAAGCCAGGGATCACTGTCGGCTCCATCAAAACACTCGTGATGTGAACTGAACTGAGAGGTGTGGAAAGCAGACGTGGTAAAACGGTGCGGAGGGGCAGGTTATGCTATGTACAAACCAACATCACAGGCACAGCAGAGTAGATACAAAGGGAGTGGATACAAAAGACACCCACAGCTTCAAAAAGGTTTTCATTTTTGTTTTTACCCAGTCTGGAGGTCTCAGGGCCCTGTCCTGTGGGAACAACCCCGCCCACATCACCTACTGGTGGCATCAGGTACCATAACCACAGCCTCCATATGTCCAGGAAACAGTACTGTGACTAAGGGCAGGTGTGTCTCGCATATTTCCACAGAGGTGGTCATTTTCTACTAAAAAACAAGCCTTTTTCTGATCTTCATGGTTAACAGTACCCATTAAGTTCACTCTGCCCAATCCCATCTGATCTTCGTGGAACTTAAGATGTGGAACTAAAACTAGGACCAAACCGATATACTGTATGATGCTGTTCTGAACAACAATCAAGCATATGGTCAGGTAATATGGGACGGCAGTAACTGGCCTCTTAAATATGACACCTTGGCTGATCATCACCAGGAAGACAAGGAAGATTTTCTTCACACACTTCACACAATAAACAGCGTGAGTCTATATAAACATATGAAATTACAGGAACCACAAATTCAGGACACAAAACGGAAGAAAACATTCGCAAAACGAAATTATTACGTGTGCAAGAAAAAATGACATGACTGGAAAAACATGGTACTGGACAGTCGTCGATCACAAGGCCCAATGAGAGTAAAACGAGTCTCGCTAACTGTGAGTTAACTTACCGCGTCCAGCACCAGGGTATCCACCGGCACCGTAACCTAGCAACAAGACAGGATCAGGGCCAAGGTTAGTGCAAATGGAAATAAACAAATTACTGCTCCATCTTTTACAAACAACACACACACACACACACATACACACACACGCACACACACGCACACACACACACACACACACAGTTACATCCACCCATATAAATCAACACCATGACATTTAATCATAGCCAATGAAAAGCATATATCACAACCTTTGAAATGTTACTATCATGGCCCAGTGTTGGTTTTTGGATTAGATCAGACTCACGTCCCCAGGTGTCACATGGTAGGGAGACATACTGAACTCAGATAAGCTCACAAGAACGTACAGCTAAAATATACACACTCTCATACTCGCACAACCCACAGAGGACACACTGACAAAGACAAAACCCACAGAGGACACACTCACCTGGCTGGAGTCCATAGCCATTAGGGTATCCTGAAAGAAAGCAGAAACTGAGTTCATTCATGCCAATAATCAATTAGGCCTGATCTTACTACTGCAGGAATAGCTGTGAAGGAACCCTTTCTGAGAGTGAGCAATACTGTCCTGCAAGAATATTGTAATATTTGTTCAGTAAATTATTACCATTTTTTTTTGAGAAGCCAACATAGAAGAATGAAGAAAATAACAGTGGTGGACAGTAATGAAGTAAATCTTGTCGTTACTGTACTTAAGTAGTTTTTCGTGTATCTGTACTGAAGTTTTTCCATTTTGGGCGACTTTTTACTTTCACTCCACCACATTTCAAAGACTAATATCTTAATTTTTACTCCACCGCATTATGTGAAATCTGTTGTTCCTTTTGGTTTATGTGTGAATAAAAACGTAACATGTCAAAACAAAAGAAGCGCAAAGTAAGAACACCAATGAGGGCACAGCGGTCACTTTGTTTTGAGCTTGTTTTGACCTGTTGGTCATACCGACCCAGTGCAGCAGACGGTTCAACATCAGTGCAGCAGCGTAAAATTCTGGGAAAGTCTATTCAACATAAATGATGAACTAACCTAACTTTGTGTAAACAGACCACAATATAGAAATATGTACTCATATGCAGTTGTGACTGACGTGTCTTTATTCTGAATTTATACAAACACGATTTCATTTTATAGTAAATTAGTTTCAGCTAGATGATGTTTATGAACAGAGACCTACAGATGCAGTTTAGTAAAGGAAACTCATTTGTGAATCTGAGTTTTAAGTTTTTAATAAGCTCATTTTAACTTGTAACTCAGTTCAAATAAATCTTAAACTGAAACTTTGCTTGTTTGTAAAAAGTGATTTCAGAGCCACTCAGTTCTACCTGATGGGAACTGTTTGCCTTCAGTGTTTTGTGCTCATGATAATTTTAATGGACATCAGCGTCACTAATTAATGACATTCTATTAAAAGACTGGTTTACCAAGAGAGACACTGGAGTATTTTCACCTAAAATGAGTTAATAAAGCAGAGTCTTCTTATAAAAACGGTAAAAGGACATTAAAGTCATAATTAATCTTTTAGTACTTTTACTTTTGATATTTAAGTACATTTGAAGGCTAATACTGTTGTACTTTTACTCAAGTGGAGGTCTAAAGGGAGGAACTTCTACTTTTACTGCAGTAATATTTTACCTTGGGTATCTCTACTTTAACTCAGGTACATGGTTTGTGTACTTCGTCCACCACTGGAAAAAACACCTAAGGGTCCCTCACCTCGTCCTCCTAGCTTTCCTGCCTGAGACCCCAGGGCCACTCCCAGCCCGTTTCCAAGTCCAAGTCCAAGTCCTGCTCCAAGACTAGCACCTACCACCAAAACCAACCAGAGCATTTCAGAAAGGAGCCTGCTTACAAATATCGCCTACACTTTAAGGACACTCTGAGCTGTACTTGAAAAGAAGGGCACCTCAAGCTTTATTTGAAACATGAATGAAATGTGCCTTGCAAAATAATAGTAATACGTGAACATAGAAAATACGGGAAAAGCATTATTATTCCTACCGAAACCTCCTAGGGCTCCTCCGTAGCCTTGTTTCGCACCTCCTCTACCTGATAAGGGCCTGTATCCTCCCGCTTGAAGAAAACAACACCATATGAATTCTTATGGACATATTTTGCATTTTTTACAACAAGGTTTCTATCCTTCCTTTACCACCAGCACAATGAAGATCTAACGACGTCAGCTCACCTCCAAGGTAACGACCAGCTGTTTAAAACAGAACACAGGAGAGATTACTGCAGTTATTAGAGTGTTATATTGCTATATTCTCTCTTTTTGTAACAAAACCTCAAATTTCACAAAGACTTATCATGAAATATAAAGGGCAGCTGGGATTTTCAACTGGTGTAAATAATAAGTTTAAATAGTAAATAGTAAGCTTTATATGACATTAACAATATACTTAAATACACTTAAACATGCTCAAATATACACGACACATATCAGTGCACCACAGCATAAAAAACTCATTTCAAATCACATGTAAGAACTGAAATGAATCATGTTCTTTTTGATCTAGATGTTATAAAGGTCTGTATCTGAGAGATTTATCCACCGTCCAGATTTATCCACAGTTAACGATCGATCATCAGAGCACATCCTCATCACTGTCCTGTTGGCAAGGACAACTCAAGATATGCCTGCAACCTTCACAAGCCCCACCATCCCTCAGCCAACACACACACTTCAGGGGTTATAAGTCATAGTACTTACTGCCTGCCTTTCCAGGTTTCCCTCCATAGCCACGGCCTCCGAGAACACCAGCGCCTAGAGAGGAAGAGTGCAGAAAGGGTGCAGAATGCACAGAGCAAGCACTAAATAAGACTTGAAGAAAGCTATATGTATACAGTAGGGCTGGGCGATACAACGATAATGATAATTATCGCGATATAACTTTCATCAATAGAAATATAAGAAATGTTCGATAGATGTTCGATATAATAGAGCATTCTTACACTTCCACATTCTAGCGACAGCCCTGGTGGCGTTTTCTACTGCAAGGGAAGTGACACTACTCTGCTGTCGCCACGAGAGGGCGCATTTCCGAGTTTTTTGACATGACTGGGGGGGTTCAAGGAGTGAAATGAGTCGCCAAATATACTTTAGCGACATCTAAAACATGGAGTTATATATTCCCTGTTTGAGTGGAGCGACCAGCGATCTGTTCTCCTGTGACCAAGTGCGAGGGACGAGATCAGTGGCGTAACTGTACTGTCCTACAGCGAACTCACCTGTTTCCCAACATCCTAAAAAGCTTTAGCAGCATTAAATCATGTCTGCTTGATGCTACTGTAGATCAAACAAGGCAAAAAAGCGCTGATTTCAGTTTAAACGTACCAAAAAGGAGGACTCTGTTTGTTTAGTGTTAAAGATTCACTCTGCAGTTGATGGTTTTACACAGCGAGCGTCAGATTTATTGTGGTTCACCCCTCAAACTACTATGACAGAACAGAGAAATCCAGACGTCGCTAGCTGGTGTCTGAATACTGTGATATGCTCTGACATGGATGTGGTAGGACTGATGGCAGTAAGGCGGTGTGATCCATCACTGACGTACTGAGCCAGCTAATGTTTGCTGTTCATACTAAGTTGACGTTGTTGGGAAACTAAACAGTTTAGCACTGTTGTCGGCCACTTGTTTAGCACTTGTAACTGGACAGCCGAGCGCTCGTCACCAGACAGCTAAAAATAATCTGTTTTCTTTCTTAAATTATGACTATTACAACAATTGCGGCTGTGCTTTCCCAGCTGGTAAAAACAGCTGACCAGACACTTTCTCCCACTCTCCCATGACAGACCTGTGAAATGTTCCACCGTTTGGTGAGTGTTTGTCATGTCATGTCTTATCCTGTATGTATCCCATACAGGATAAGTTTAAAACAACAATTAACCACTCAGGAGCAAAAATCAGCCTTCAAACTTGAAAGTAATAACGATTTGACATTTATCGTGATATGTATCGATATCGAACGATACGAAATGTTTTAAACGTGATAGCATTTTTGGCCATATCGCCCAGCCCTAGTATACAGTAGGGAATACCACAATATAGACAACATCACATCCTCACAAACCTCCAGGCTTTGCACCGAGACCAGCACCGCCAAGACCAGCACCTTAAAAACAACAAAAAAATACATCAATACTCGGGAAGAGCTTAGAGGGATAGAGATGTGTTTAACACACTCTACTGGGCTTTGATAAGCAGTGAGCTTCTACCTCCTGTTCATGATAGGTGGAAATGAGATAATTACTGGGATAAATACTTGGATAATGTAACTGGATAACTACTGGCATGATTACTAGGATCATAACTGGGTTAAGTACATTTACATTTAAGCACTGGGCAGATCCAGAACAACTTCATATTACATCATATTACAGAGGTAGGCAATCATAATGTGTTTGCCCAGGTGGGGAATCGAACCTCAGTCTAGCATGGAGACAGCAGCAGTATTACCTACCTGGGCAAGCACTCCATGCCACGTCCTTGGGCAAGACCCTTAACGTTATGATTGTCTACCTCTGTAACATGATAATTGTTTTTAATATGTCAAAAATACTGGATATTTTCAGGAATAATAACATTGATTTGTGGACAACATTAGGTAACTAAAGAGATAATTGCTAGGTTAATTGAATGGGATAAGAAAATACTGGATTAATTACTGGGTTAACAAAATACTCCACACTGCTTTACCTCGACTTGGTACCAATCTCCCCAGGGTTCCAGTCTGAGGCCTGACGCCTAATTAAAAAAAAACACAGGGAGCAGAGAGAGAGAGAGAGAGAGAGAGAGAGAGAGAGAGATATAAGACTATGAACTTGTTGAACTGATGTGGCCTCTTTCACGGATGGCAGCAAGTCAATAAATTGACTGAGTGATTGAAATTACTGTAATTAATAAAACAGTGCGTACACTGCTTTAACATGAGGCGTAACTGCAGCCCCTCGGGGTGAACGTAAAGGAGCGAGACAGTAAGCATCAGGCCGATTTAAGACAGACAGCTTCTGATGTCAAGATGCTGATAAACAGTTCCGTGGTAGCTGATAAATGATGTAAAACTGTGCATGCATTCAACGCTTCTCCCCCTCGTCTGTGAGCGTTTTATGCCTCTCCTCGTTTGCGTTTCTCAGGAGGATGGCAACGCAGCTTTCATGGCCGATAAAGTATGATGGCTGACGTAAAAGGCGATTAGCTGTGCGAATGTCGTTGGGCTCAGAGCCGACTCAGCACAAACCAGGAACAGGCCTCCATTGATGCGCACATGCGCTTGGACAAACGGATGGACTGTGTGCGGGTCGTAAAAGCCTCCGCTCGCGGCTGGTCGTCAAATTTTGACCACCTCTGCCACCCCCAGGCCGAGGCCTGTGATTTTCAGCCACAGTGGCGAGACATGAAATACGGGCGGCTTTTATGCTGCGGCTGTGGACGCAACCCTGTCAGCTGGCCAGCGTCCAGACAACTGAGACGTGCTTTGGAGTGATGCCATTCACCCCAGTGAGGTTTTTTTTCTCCCCTATTTATCGACTGTTTCAAAAATCTCACGTAGAGTTGTTATGGTCTGCGCGAGCGGGGATTAAGAAAAATAAGCTTGACTTACACAAACCATATGATAAAAGACACACAACATCCCAGCGTCTAACAGTTTTATGGGCCACATCTTCATTGCGGTACAGTATTGCGTGCCATGTCACACAACCCCTAATCTGTCATTCATGTAACCATCTGTGGCGCTGTGTGTAAATGGGGATTAGGAGGAAAAATCTGTGGACTGAAAATACATTCGGTGACGCAGAACCGCTGCACCGAAATAGAGTATTAATCCATGAATTGACTGAGATGACAATCTATTTGGCACTGCAAAGTAATCCCAATGCTCTGTTGGGATGATTGGCCGGATGCTGGGGCCAGTGTCACAAAGTACTCTGAGACAGTGGCTTAATTGTAGTTCTAGTACAGTAAATGTGCAAAAACTGCTAAAGGCAACTGGAATTGAGCTGGAAAACTGTGCCGCCACTGCTCACTCGCTTCACTCACACTTTTCCCTGTGACACATTCTTTATTAGTCATTTTGCAGTAATGCAGTGAAGTCCGTCTGTACGCTGTGTGCCTTAAAACTCATTATACTGTAGACTCCCTCAGATAGCAGGTTACCAAGTGAGGGCACTGCCGGGGAACAGATAGCGTCGCACTTCAGTGGAATTTGTCACTTTCAGACTTTTCGCAGTTAGAGCTCAGGGTAAGGGCGTCCTGACCCTTTTCCCAATGCTGGGCTACACTGTTAGAAAAATACATGTTCCTGAACAGTTCCTGGTTTGGCTGTACAGTTCTAAGGGGAAAAAGATCAACTTTTACTTGATGTGGATGTCATTTATGTTGTAAAAAGGCTCTTTAAAGAACCATCCACTGAAAGATTCTTTGGGGATCTAAAAGAGATTCTATACTTTTGGGCACCATTTATTTTTAAGACGGTAGGCTGGAATATCCTTTTATCATCTAGCTCTGAGAGTGGACCTCCACAGTCTGATCATGAAGTCAGAGTATGGATCAGTGTCCTTCAGTCGCAGCATCAGTAAACAGGAGAATTCAGAAATATGAACATTCATTGACTGATCTGCGTCATTAAGGGAAGCACACATACACTGTATATCTAGACTGGATCCAAGTCAACGCTGCAGACGCTAATGCACAAGTGGCTAGATTACAGAAAACCAGTTTAGCTACGACCTCTTTTCCAAAAAAAGTTGGGACGCTGTGCAAAATGTAAATAAAAACAAAATGCAACAATGTGCAAATCATTTAAACCCAATATTTCATTGGAAATAGCACAAAGACAACATATCAAATGTTGAAACTGAGAAATTTTTGTGTTTTTTGAAAAATATATGCCCATTTTAAATTTGAGGCCAACAACATGTTCCAAAAAAGTTGGGACGGGGGGCAACAAAAGGCTGGTAAAGTTGTGTCATGATTAAAAACACCTGGTGGTTCATTGGCAACAGGTCAGTAACATGATTGGGTATAAAAGAGCATCTCAGAGAGGCTGAGTCTTTCAGAAGTACAGATCAAGAGGGGTTCACCACTCTGTGAAAGACTGCACCATCAAATAGTGCAACAATTCAAGAATAACGTTTCTCAACGTAAAATAGCAACGAACTTTTGCTTTCCATCATCTACGGTTCATTGTATTCTATTTTTATTTACATTCTGCACAGCGTCCCAACTTTTTTTGGAAATGGGGTTGAACATGTCCAGATTACCTTTTGGTATTAAGATATTTAAACATAACGTACTTAAGAGTCGCCTTCAGAGAGCCAGCATTCACTATCCATTTAGGTGAGTAAACCCTGAGCAACAGTGGATAGATGAGCTTTTATTTTACACTAGTGTTCATTCCCAACTAGGTCTGCACAAAAATTACATTAAAACTGTGATCTTGATTCCTTACTCAATACAAGTCAATTCAACAACAGCGGCGATTCTGAAGACCATAGCAAGCATCCCATGACGGTAGCATGCTGATCACAATGGGTGTGTCACCACCATAACCGGGCTTTTGTTCTTACGGGAGTTCAGCTCAGCTATGTGCATTTTAGATCAGAAGCAGTGGCCACAACCCTTCTGCCTCACACCACTGCTGCCAGCAGAGCCCCTGTATTTTAATATTTCATAGTAATGTAAAACCTTATTCTCTGTTTATGTTGCTCTTTTGTTATTGTTTGCTATCCGGTGTCGACCAGAGGAGGATGGGCTCCCCTTTTGAGTCTTGGATCCTCTCAAGGTTTCTTCCTCTTGCTTTTAGGGAGTTTTTCCTTGCCACCGTTGCCATTGGCGACGCTCATGGGGGCTCGGACTCTGATTTTTCTGTAAAGCTGCTTTGCAACAACACCTGTTGTAAAAAGCGCTATATAAATAAACTTTGACTTGACTTGTCAATGTGACCAATCACACCAGCTGTGTGCGACAGGCTCTCTGCTTCAAGTACTGCATGAATGACGATGGAAGGGAGGCCAGGTTGTCACACTGCCTAATTTTTGGTGTTTGCCATGAGCTGGAGGCCACTAGGAGCATGTACAGAAGATTTGTACAGGTCAAGCAGTAATTATTTTGATTGCATTTGAACAGAAATTTCACTTCATAAAGCAACTTCTTTATGCACACTAACACACCACCACCACATCAGTGTCACTGCAGTGCTGAGAATGACCCACCACCCAAATAGTACCTGCTCTGTGAGGGTCCATGGGGGTCCTGACCACTGTAGAACAGAGTAAAAGGGGGCTAACAAAGTATGCAGAGAAACAGATGGACTACAGTCTGTAACTGTAGAACTACAAAGTGCACCTATATAGTAAGTGGAGCTGATAAAATGGACAATGAGCGTAGAAACAAGGAGGTGGTCAGAATGTTATGCCTGATAGGTGTATATAACTCACTGCTCAAAGTTTGGCTATGCAAAGAATTTTGTACGGTATATGTACTTTCTTTAAAAAAACTGGAATTTTGAAGAATCATAAGTAAAAATTGTGAAAAAAATCCCATTTATTCAAGAATGTTTCCGGCTTTTAGCTCAAAACATTTTCATTACACTCTCATTAAAGGACACGAAATAGTTTTAGTGTCACTACTGAAGTTGCTCGATAAGTTCAATGCATTTCATGCAGTTCCCACACATTAAACAATGTATTAGCATTAGTTACTGACGTAGACGCTCGTTAAAAAACTAAGAACGAACTTTTTCATTTCAACAAAATGTTAAACTCCAGACTGATGTCACTCAAACCCTCAGAAACTCCTGCTTCCAGAGCTGCGTTCTGTACACCATCTCTCTAACCCAACCGCATCTCCATGCATCTCTCACTCTGCTACCTTTCACTCTCCAAAAGCACCTCAGATGAACGTGCCCCCCCCTCCCCCACTGCTTCTTACCTCCTTGTAAAGTGCAGTGTGCCAGCCACAGCAGCACTGAAGTCTGCAGGAGCCTCTGACCCAACATGGCAGCCAACAGACAAACAGGCAGACGCAGAGAAGGATGGGAGGCCAAGAGGATAGACGAGGACGGATGAGCTGGCCGGCTTCGGAGACGCGAGTAATGGCCAGTCTCGGTGTCTGCATGCCCTTTAAATATGCTCTAGACTCCTGTGCCTTCCCTCCACCGGAGCCCTGCCTTCTACCATGAAATTGGGCACCACTTAGCCCAACCACCTGCCCTGTGTGGCTCTCCTTGTGCGCTCCCAGACTGGACCAGATATCCAGACCCAAGAAAACACTCATCCAAAGACGCCATGCACATTCTGACCATTCAGGTGTATTAACAGGTCAGTGCAAGAGGATGAGAGAGACAAAGACACTCAAACTCAAGACAGAGACAAGAGGAAGATGTTCAGAGGGACATTTAGTAATATGTGCTCTTCGTCAAGGAACTAGCTTGATGCCCAAAACCACAAAATGGGACACAGACTGAAAAAAGTAATGCGCTGACGTGATTCAGATGTGAACCTTGTTTCCAAATGACCACAATTTCGTCCTTGGCAAAACATTCTTGATACATAATTCACTAATGTGAATATAATGTAGACATTTGTCTAAAGTAAATATAATACATCACTGTTTTTAGTGTGCTAAGCTCCACAATAACTCACTAGGCTAAGTATATGGGTGAATTCCTGACCAAAGATCAGTTAAGGTCACAATAGCTTGCTCCATCTGACACACATCCCCTGGCACACAGCCTTCCTCCACACGGACAGCCAAGTGCAAGATTTATGGCAAAAGAAACATGGAGTGAGTCACCATCCCATCCTTGGTGCACTTTCACAATGGACCAGGGCAGATTTACTGGCAGGCCAGGCTTGTCTTTTACTAAAGCAGTGTACAGTTTTCTTCTCGTCATTACGGATCTATCAAACACACATTTCCTGTAACAGTACAGTTTAACACCACAAAGCACCAGACATTCTCAAAATGGTGTCTTCTTACAGAAAACATCACCCTGAAGTGTTAACGTTTCGTAACAGTTGCAAGTGAATAGAAGTCTGTAAGCATTAAATTATACTAAATGGTCCCTGTGCGTTTTTAGTCAATGAGTGTGTTTACATGCACTTAATAATCCAACCATGATTGGATTTCTGCAGTTATCCGATTATTCAAACACCATACTCTGATCTAGAAATCCGATTAAGAAATCTGATAAAGAGAGCTGGATTTTAGCTCAGTATTCAGATTTCTCAGTGCATGTGAACTCTTACTCTGATTTCTTTCGAATTTCTCAGTCTGCACATGTGCAAAAACAGACAGGGCGGTACCGGAAAAGCATGCAGCGTTGCCGTGCGAGACGCAGCAAAACACTTTTGGGGTGACGCTGAAACCAAACACGAAATAAAGGATTTAAATGTTCTTCATCTTCTGGATGATGCATGTCCATATTTTCAGGTAAAGTGGCACAATGTCCTTTTTTAAAAAGTCAAGGCATAAATTTGAGTTTTACGTTACGTTTACATCACATCTTCCTCTGTGAGTTTATTGGCTGGTTGTAAAGCAGAACTGTCTGACTCATGTAGACCTGGAGTTTCCCCATTATCTGATTACTCAAGTGCATGTAAATCTGATTACTGACAAAATCTGATTTTCTGCAGTTATTAGATTATTAAGTGCATGTGAACGAACTCTTTGCTAGGGAAGTCAGTCAATATTAGCTTTCAATTTACTCCATTTTTCTTTTCTCTTTTTTTAAACTTTACTGTTCTAATTTTATGATTATCATTAGACGACGTCCAGGAGAAAAGACTGATTAATAAAAGCACGAACAAACATAGCTAAAGAACAAAGGGCGTGTGGTGTAATCTAGCATCCAGTTGCTAACAGGACTATTTTACAGATATGGTTACACAGTAATACATAATACAGACACGCATACAAATCACCTTTTGCGTATCCTCTTAATCGCTTGTGCTGGTTGCCCTAATGGGGTATTTTTTCTCCCAGTTGTAACATAAGCCATAATTTCAAGCCATTGTTTTTTGTTGGGGGGGGGTCTTGCTGCTTCCACTACCTTGCTATGGTCTTTTTACTATCTACCAATAATATTTTAAGCAGATATTTATCATTCTTCCCTACTATCTTTTGGGAGCATTTTCCCAAAATAAAGATTCACCCATGAAAACTCATACATAATTCCAAATAAGACACTTTTTCATTAGCTCAGGCATGTTGACAATGCCTGGGGGGATTGGACAAAGCCGAATATCTCAGTTAAACTTCAAAGAATTGACCAATATGTCCCAGAATGTCCCTGACCTACTGGACAGGCTTGGGTTTGGGCTTTATTTAATCAGCAAACTGAGAAATCCTGCTTTGAGGAGTTCCTCCCTGGTTTGGAGATGGCAGACAATCATCACGGCCAAGCTAAAATAACACGCCATGCTACATTAAAACTTATTACCAGCACCATAAACTGGGGCCAACATTGACTGGGTCTGCGTTGCTGCGCGGCCTGTTGCGGATAATTTTACGTAGGTATGGACTGGAGCTTTCACAGTGCACACAGGTGTGCTTTTCAACCCCGACCTTTACAACAATGCCCCTCTATTGCTGAAGCTCGGAAAAATCCAGGCAATGTAGATTTTGTAAACATCAGAGAGGAATAATACAAACTACCGCAGGATGTTGAGTCGCACAAAGTTCCACATTAAACCTCCGTTAATGCTTGTTTTTCACGTAAGGACGGGACCTGGCAGCGACTTTTACTAAATGAAGTCATGTTTAAAGAGTAATTCAGAGCACCACTCACTGCCCTTCTCTCTTCAGCTAGTTTGGGCAATTTTGGGACCTTTTCTGTTTACCCACTTTGATTCTTCTAAGCTTTTTTCACAAATTTTAGGAGGCGCCAAGTATCGCATGCTAAGTGAATGCCCAAACAAGCATTATTTACAAGCAGTTGTGTTTGGATCATCTAGTTTTCGGATGATGTGAATATGAGGCCTTCATTAGAGCCAAACTCTGGCTCGCCACCTTTTCTCCTCTTTATATGCCACTCTAACACCTGTTGCACTGTGTTTGGGGGAAAGAAGCAGGGCTGGAGTATATAGAGTCTGTTTGCACAGACCTCTTCGTAAAGAGATGAGTGACGAACGTGCTACACAAACACGCTTTGTGTGTGCAAAGTGCACCCTCCAGAGACCTCGACTGTACCTGTGGCAGTAATATTCCAGTAATACTAAGTGGCTAGTGTTAGTCAGAGGTTGAAAAATGCATTAGTGCAATGTGATACATCAATCTGAGGGTGGTGATTCAACTGCATTGATTCTGGAAAGTTAGAATAGGTTTTTATCACTATGCTCTATATATTGTAATGTGTGTCTTACAGCTGTATTGCACACTGTCACAATATTCAGTGATTTATTATTCTACTTTGGGCTAAACAATTGTATGTTTAATGATTTTTATCATTCTCAACAGTACAACAATAATTGAACTTGAGATTTCGTGATGCACTGAATCATTTCCTAAAGAATCTTAATCAAAACAAATGAAAAAGTTCATTCGCTTGAATGGAAAAAGGTCAGATTTTGCGAAAAAGGAATTCGCTTCCAGTAGTGATTCATCTCGGTCAGGGGTCGGCAACTCAAATGTTAAGAAGAGCCACTTTCAACAAAAATTAAACCATCTTGGGAGCCACAACATTTTATGCCCATTTTAGTGAAGTAACATTTTACCGTCTTGTCCTAATATATGCCAGCTGATGTCCTAGTATAGACTAAAAAAATGTTCAAAATGAAAACGCAGACTTACTTTGGCTCTGCTTTAAGCTTCAGCTCAGCTATAGTCGCTTTTTTCGCATCTCCGGCAAGAAACTTTTCAACAAAAGTGTAATAGTTTCTTGTAAAATGTCTCAACGTTTGATGGCTGAAGTCAGCTTCTCATTCAGGAGAAAGAAAAAACATACTTTACTTTTAATGTAAGTCAATGGAACAAGACATTTTTCCAATTCATTTTGGGCCGTTTCTTCTGGTCCGTTCATCATGAAATTTATACACATGTAAAGGACAACAGTCATTTTCAAATTATGTCAAAATCTGAAAAATGTCCTAGTATAGGCTAAAAAGTACAATATAAATAAAAATCCAGAGTTACTTTGCTCTGCATTAAGCTTTAGTTCAGCTATAGCCCCTTTTTTCGCATCTCTGGCAGGAATATTTTCTGCAAAAGTGTAATAGTTTCTTGTAAGATGTCTCAGCGTTCAATTTTTATGAGGCTAAAGTCGCTTCTCATTCGCCAGCTTCTTGTTTGAACTTTCCCGTTCCACCTTAAATGGTGCCTGAGGTGCCAGAATGCAACTGCTGCACCATTTAAGGTGGAATGGGAAAATTCAAACAAGCTGGCAAATGAGAAGCTGATTTTATCTTTGTGACTTTTTAGTGAACGACAGTTTTTCGTTGCAGGTTAAACGTATCAGGAAACCAGCCGGAGTGATTATAAATCCATTTGTCTCCAAATGACCAATGTTCATCTTAAATCTTGCCTTTCATTAGCTAATAGCTAGGTGAAATTCTTGTCTGCGTTGCTATGGTGACCAGCAGTCTGCGCATAACCTTCAGGGTTAAAGGGTGAATCAGCAGTTCTACATTAACTCCAGAGTTTAAGACCCTTTATTGTTACACTGTGTTGAACGATCAGCAGAGCTTTATTTTACTGTAAAGGAGGATTATTTTATTTTTACCTACAAATCTAATTCAGTTGCGGAGCCACAACAGGACAGTAAAAGAGCCTCATGCGACTGATCTAGGTGAACTTTAACCCTACAAATAGAAAAACAATCATGATGTCACTTGTTGCTCACAGTTGCAAAACTGCTCATAATCTCATGATTTTTGTTCCACCCAAGCAAAGAAAATATCGAGGTGAAAGGCCAGTGTGACCACAGCTTTAGAGGTGCCTGCCGCTGCACATGCAGGTATCATACTTCTAAAACGGTGAGTAACTCAAGGATGGTGGGAAATAACACACAGACAATGGACGAAGAAAACACAGATGTACAGGAGGGAACAAACGTACACGCTCTCTCTCCCTCTGGACTGTAGGTTCTCGGAAACC